ATCCTACACCTTCTACCACACCAGGTCAAACCCAGGATACCTCGCCATCTGATGCGGATTCGGAAGATGACAACGTACCATTGGCAGAAATACAGGCGACTAACATAGATATGGTAAAAAGTTTACCAGTTCCTACCAAACTAAGGGGTAAAAATGGGTTTATGTGGTCAGGGAAGAAAGGCTCAATTCATCGTACACCAAAAAGAAATCTCGTCTTGCATTTACCTGGAAACAAAAACGAGGCAAAACATATAAAATCGGAAGCTGAGGCTTGGAAATTATGTTTCACAAAAGAAAATCTAGATAAAATCACACAATATACTAATAACGAAGTGCAAGTTCAACGATTGAAATATGGAAATAGAAACCATGACAGAGATGCTGACGGAGATGACAATACGGTAGGTAAGAGACCCTCTTGGACCAAGGATACAAACAGTGTTGAACTTCAAGCACTTTTTGGACTATTTTATTATGCCGGTGTTATGAAAATGTCTGGAGTATTTACGAAGGAACTATTTGATAAAGACACAGGAATACCTATATTTCGTGCTACCATGCCCGAGGCACGTTTCAGGTTTTTGATAAACTGCCTCCGCTTTGACGATAAAGAAACCAGAGCTCAGCGAAAAGAAACCGACAAGCTTGCAGCTTTTCGAGAGGTATTTGAGAGGTCAATCAACAAAATGAAGGAGCTATATGTTCCCTCAGAATATATAACAATTGATGAACAATTGGTTGGTTTTAGAGGCAGATGCCCTTTCAAAATGTACATCCCTTCAAAGCCCAATAAGTATGGAATCAAAATTGTGATGTCCTGTGATGCCAAAACCGCTTTTGCACTTGATGCTGAAATTTATATAGGAAAAGGTTCCACACCAACCGATGTTCCTGTCGCTCAGTATTATTGTAATAAACTAACCAGTTCTTTTCAAGGAACAAATAGGAACTTGACCATGGATAACTGGTTTACTTCTGTTGAGACTGCAAAACAACTTCTGGAGAAAAAAATTACCGTTGTGGGTACTATGCGGAAAAATAAAAAAGAAATTCCAGAGTCGTTTTTAAAACTCAATGAGAGGGAAATAAATTCTGCTATGTTTTGCTACAGTGGACACCTAACACTGTTATCATACTGCCCACCTAAGAAGACTAAGAAAAAAACTGTAATTATGCTTTCGACAATGCACGAAAAAGGTGATGAGTCATATACTACCAAGTTACCAGAAATTATTCAATTTTATAATTCTACTAAAGGAGGAGTCGATACTTTAGACCAACTGTGTCATACTTATTCTACTGGTAGAAAGACACGTCGCTGGCCATTATGTCTGTTCTATAATTTGTTGGATATTCTGGGATATAATTCAATGATTCTTTTGCGTGGCTCTGGCGAAGCAGATAAAGAAATTATTACCAACAGGAGAGAATACCTGAAGAAGCTCGCCCTTGAACTGGTCAGACCGCACTTGATGAGTCGTTTGGAAACTCCAACTTTGAGACGCGAACTCCGCGAAACCATATGCAGGGTCCTCAAGATAACTGCTCCTGAAGAAGTACCTACTAAGCCACCAGCAACAGTGGGTAGGTGTGCTTTTTGTCCCAGAAGCGAAGATCGAAAATCAAGAGTAAGCTGTGCAGTGTGCAAAAAGTTCATTTGTTTACAACATCAAAAAAAAAATTGCTCGGTTTGTGCCGAATGACTAATTCATAATGTGTTCGCGTTAAAAGTGTTTCTAGAGACTTAGTTTAAGTTGTTATTATCCTATAAGTGAATAAATTTTTTGTTTGTCAAATATACGACATATTTTATTTGGGGTACGCTGGTACCCCTGTGTAGCAGATGCGTGTTCTGCAATAAGTGTAGCATTCCAGGGTAAAGTGGGTTTAAAAAGTTTTGAGGAAATGTAAGTATTTTTTATAAATATTTTTTATTGTTTTGATCAAGTTTAAAATGCGATTTTTAGATCTATAGATGTCTAATAAAATTCCTACTAAAAGGAAATACAATACTTCGAAATCACCCTGTATGTAAATGATACATATGTCCCAGTTTTATATTGTTATTAAAGAACAAAATGAAGTTAACTTATGTGAAATTTTTTCAAATTTCAATTGAACAATGTAGCGAACTTGGATTCGTTTGGCATCCCAATACCATAGACATTGATTTTAAAAAAAGAATACATTCTGCTGTTACAACCATTTTTCCTTACACCAAAATTATAGGATGTGGATTTTATCTGGCATAATCTTGAAAAGAACAAATTCATTTTCTCTAGTGTAATTATTGTTTTTTAAATATCCATTTTTACTTTTTCTCACTTATACGAGGCGTCAATTATACATAGGTATACAATGTGTCCAAAAAGTTTTATACAAATGGGAAAAATGTTCTCTTACATTTCACAAAAAAATTATTCTCTATAAAAATCTCTACGTTCTAAAAACTAAAATACAACCATCAAATATTAACATTTTTTCAGTCGTATACGAGGTTTAGTAGGTAGGTATGAAGAAAAGTATCTTTATTTTTGAAAATGTTAAAAAAATTTACTCAGAAAAGTTTTTTAGAATTAAATTTTAAATTTTTTTTTAAACATATTTAAGAAATCAAATAAAATAAAACTGAATTTAGATATCTACAATTCTACGTGTATGTGATAATAATTATTTTCAATTTTGATATTTTTAAAAACAAAGATATTTTCCTGTTGCTCAAAATTCATATTTTTGGACGAACCTAGTATACGACTGAAAAATTTTAATATCTGATTGTTGTATTTTAGGGTTTAGATCATGCAGAGATGTTTATAAAGAATAATTTTTTTTTAAATAAAAATAGGATTTTTCCCATCTATAAAATTTTTTGGGACTCACTGTATAAAAAAAATATTTTAATGATTTTCACGTTTTGAAGGTACCCGAGTCCGAAAAACATGTTTTTAGAAAATTTCATAAAATCGTAAAAAATAAACGAATAAACAGATTCAAATAAAATTTTGGATATAAATAAAATAAAGAGTCACTATTGTCACACACAATCCATTGGTGTACGTTAAATGGGTAGAGCATAATAGTAGAAATACTTTATTATTCATTATAATACAATACTCATTAGAAAGTTAATAGAGGTTTCAAACGATAAAACTAAAAAAAATATATAAAAAATAAAAAGGACTTTTAGGAAAAGTAACATGTATCAAAATATATATTTTTTTATAGGTCTAGAAAAATACTTCGACTTGCTTATCATCCAAGTATACACCTGTTTCTTGAGGCGTTGAAATACAGGAAGCTACCATTGTATAAAAACTAAGGGTAAAATGACACATAGTTGTATACCTAGTTAACTTTTTAACTTATACATTTTTAAACTGTGTATAGTGATTTAAGATTCATATCCAATATTATATTTTTAATGCTATTTTATATTCTTATAAATCTATTAATATTTTTTATATTGCCTAACATTAATAGTACTGTCAAAGAACATCTTAAAGTTTAAATTCCACAAGAGGCACAGAAGCAATACGTTTCAAAGTTTATAATTTATTTCTGGATGGAGAGCAAATTAATTGCATTATAAATATTTTGTTTATTAATCCACTGATAATAATTAACAAATAATACAATAAGTTTGATTTTTATCTATATTCAGGGTGAGTTATGAACAACCTTACAGACTTCTACCATATATAGAGTCCCTTAGGGGGTATATCATATGCGTATAAAAAAGTGACAAATCACCTTTATTATTAATATACGGGATGGTCTGTAAATTTTGAGAAAAATTTATATGGTTGTAAAATCTATTACTAGATTTCTCTAATTTGGCGAAACTGTATTGTCTGGTATATAACACATACCATCAAATGTTAAAAATTCCAGTCTAGGCTTAGGAAAAATTATTCTCGAGTTCGCCCTGTATACGATTTTTTAAAATTATAATAAAAGATTTTCAAAGTACATAGTTAGACAATTAAAACTGTGTATAAGACATTTTTATCACATTTTCGTTAATTTTTTTGTAAATTTTCGATTTTGGAACAAACTGAAAAAACATCTTAAAAGGTCACATAATAATGTTATAACTTAAAGAAAACATTGTTAATTGTAAACATTTGAGCTAAAACGAGTCGAACATGGGCCTATTTCTATGATGCAATCTCAATTTGTAAAATTTCCAGGTCCGGATTAGTTCAGATAAAAATTTTAACCAGAAATTTTAAACCAACAACTCTAATAAATCTTAAAAAAAGAACAAAAACTACATATCTAGAACGAAACCTTACAAAATATGAAAAAATAAATTCAAAATAATTAATTAATAATTATAAATGCAAGTATTTAATAACCTCTAATTAAAATTGTTCATTTTACCAAAAAATTAGAGGAATCTTGTAATTCTTATAGATTTTATGGCCATACAACTTTTTATCAAAATTCACTAATTAATAATAGTAATAATCACGAAGGAGAGTTACTACTTTTTAATGCTCATTAGATATACCCCGTAAGGGGGGACTCTACATATGGTAGAAATATGTAAAATTCCTCATGACTTACCCTATATACTCCTACACGGTTTATTAAACTTAAATTTAAAAGTTAAATTTACTTATGTGTATTATATAAATTTCTCGAAAAAAAATTCTTGTTTGTATTTTAATAATAATAATTGTATTAATTTTTATAATAAATGTAGCTAATTTCTTTAGTTTTTCCATTCACAACGTTAATTTTTAGAATAGTAACTTACTTTTGTTAAGATACAATGAATGATTTTAAAATTTAATTATAGAATATTAGATTGATTCAAAATTAAACTTTAATTATAATTCCACATTGTATTGATTAAATATTTCTTAAAATTATTATTTTTTACTTATTCTAAAACTATATTTTTATATACAGTTAAAATTAATCAATTTGGTTATATTAACGAAATTATACAAAGAAAAATTTATGACTAATAACTATTCCAATCAATCCACTTTATTTCGACTCTTTCAATTCCAGACCATAATCCCTTAAACTACTTTAAAGATGCAAGTTTGATTGCAAAATTTCTAGGAAAATTATGTGTCAGTTTTAATCCTTCAGGTAATTTAAGGGTATAAATGGCTGCATATCACAGTAGTGTATCTCAGTTGTTTGACAAGCATCAACCACAGTAATAAAAGTGTTATAAAGTTTTTTTGGTAATATTTTTAAAAATGCAAGACTCTGCAATCTATGCACAAGAAACCAGTGTTGGAGAGGTTGGAAATATATTAACTCCACCAAGAAGTGATTTGTCTCCTGAAAATTGTGAAGGTCGAAAAGCAGTTTTCTCTCAACCACCCCAGTCTCAGATGCCATTAATTTATAATAACACTCAACGTGTTCAACAGCAAAATTTTAACGCAGTAAGTTGTTTTTTTTTAATTAATATTTTCACCAATGCAATTGCCGCAGTACAGTTATAAATATTAAATGTATTATCGAAGAAAAAGAGAGACATTACAGGTCCCTATATATAGTAGATTAAGGGTAGCGGAAATTTATTCAAAAACGACAACTTTTTTTTTTAATAATTTTTTACAAAAAAATACCTTTTTAAAATATTTGTCTGCATCAATTTTAAAAAACTTATATTGAAATACCTAAACAAAATAATATCAATAAAAGAATAAAGAGACTAAAAAATAATGGTAATTGTAAACGTCTTTTATGTGAAAAACTCTTGCTATAAAAATGAAATAGTAAAACTCGAAACGAATACCGGAGAGCTCTACTTGTTTCAGTAATACAAAATACCTTGTTACGAAGTACTTTCTTATGCTTGATGGTTAGTCTTTGCTGAGTTCAGTTTTTTTCATTGTCATTATCACTTACAATTAGTTGAAATTCCACTCACATTTTATATTTTTTTATATATAATTCATTACTTTTACATGGAAAATAAGTACGCTATATCTGCGTATTTTTTTTTAATACTAATTATATTTTTTTGTAAACGGTTTTAACAAAACTTAACGATTTGTTTGTAAATATGAACAAATATTTTGTGAAATTTATCGATATTTTTTATATTTAATGTTAATAATAATAAAATATTCTGACAATTGGTTTGGCAGAATTATTTAAAAAAAAGTAATCCGATCTTCAATTAAGAACTCGCGGATTTTATGTCCGTATAGTGTCCTTACTAAAATCTATATGAAATTGTATAAATTTAGTAGAACACAATGACCTGTTTTTTTTAAATAAAATAAAAGTTATTATACTCTAATATTTTTTTTACTATTAACATGAGAAATCACTATTATATAATCCATAATTCTAATAAGAAGTAATATTTCTTACCATAGGTAGATAATGATAATAAAAAACACCTAAGTAAATAATGAAACATTGTCTATAATTTTAATGGAATGAAGAGAAACTTAACTTAATTCTAATAATTCAACACTAGAGAGTAATATGATAACAATTATTAAAAATCTGTCCAACATATAACTTTTCTGTCTAGATATATTTCAAAAACCTGTGAAAATGTCTTAGAATTTGGGAAACGACGTTAGGAAAGCGTCTGAGATACTCTCTTACTGCTGCTCTACCTTTTCCGTTACAAAAACCGAACACAAAAATAATGTCTGCATATTCTTTATTACTAAATTAAAACGGCATTCTGAAATATTTATTCTCACAGCAGAAACTTACACAGATAAACAAAAAAAAATTAGCTCAAAATACTGTACATGAAATAAATGATATTATTTGACACAAGCCTACTGGTATACAATTTTACTTTAATCATGTTTAGGACGAAATGAGTGATGGTGTAATTTGGCGCATATTGGCAATTGAGTTTTAAGCTCGTTTATAAAAAAACTAGTTTTTTTAACTTTTAAGTTTGATTTCATTAGAGTTTTAGTTCGTTTAAGTTTTATTTCATTTTAATTTCCAAATATAATTACCTACAGATAAACGTGTAGAGAAAATGAATGAGGTGGTTCGAAACCATCCTTCTTTTAGTGTAAGAATTAGTAATGAATAGGCAGTACCTAGGTAGCAGAAATAAGTGTATGTAAAACTTAAAAAAAAAATTAAATTTGTATCTATTTAATGTACAAAAAGTGCAGACATAAAATGTTTGGTAGGGAACTTATAAAAATCAATAACAGAACACAGTTAATGGAAAAAAATTATAATGTATGCAATAACATTAGACACAAACCGAAAATAATTTTACACTAGTCTGTAGAAATCTCCAGTATTGTAGTTGTGTTTGGAAGTGGATTTTTTTTTCCTGGGCTCGTCTGACTATGTGTCTCCGAATAACACTGAAGCCTATTGGCTTATTGTGTTTTACCCCATGTTAGTTCATAGCACCCACTCTATCTCCTTTGTACCTTGTACAAATTTGTACAGATCCTTGGGTGAGTGGGTTCTATACGTTGTTGGATCAACCTGGGGTTGTCCAAAAAGAGCCTGTCTTTGGAATTGCATTAGAATTTGTCCAAATATTTTTTAGAATTTATTTAAAACATGGCCGTTATCACTAGTGCGTGGAATTTTAGGCATTTTGCTTATTGTAAATATCAAAAGCACTAGTACATAACATAGTACACATTCATAAATTAAATGCAAAAAAGGCACCGATTTTAATTCTTATTTTGCTTTTTTAACTTTATGATTATTTTATATTTTATGCATACCAGTATTTAAAACTATTTTGCATTTTGTTGAAATCCTTGCTCATTTTTTACTACTTAAAGCACTTTTATCACACAAAATTTTCCTAAAATGGTGTGTATTCGAGAAAATTGACAAAAAGTGCAAAATTCAAATTTTTAAGAAAATTGTTAAACTAAAAGTTGTTTGCTATATGGATCTCTATAATTTTTGATTTGTACTTGATTTCTATAAAATGGAACGTTATGGAAAAACTTACAGAAAAGTGTAAAATTTTTATTTGAGAACAAATTGAAAACACATTAAAAAAACTGTTCAAAATTCAACAAAAATCTTTGGTTTTGTTATTGGAAACTATAGGACGTTTAAGTCCTTAGAAGCCATTTTTAACTAGTCTGTAGAAGACTCCAGTATTGTAGTTGTGTGCGTTAGAATTTGCCCAATTTTTTTTAGAATTTTGATAAAATTTTGTATAAAAAATACACTCTCCTAGGTTAATCAAAGCTATATTTTAATTTAAAAAAATTGAAGAACTGTTTCTCTTTTTTTATATATCGCTTTCCTTAGCTAGAATATCATCCTATTTTACTCTGTACTTTTAAAACTCTTTACAAATAAGGTACTATCTTAATTTCTTTTAACTACCTAAAGCATTTTCCATTAGAAAATTGAACATTTACATAGGACCGGGCTCACTTTATTTAATAAAGTAATAGAACAAATTAACAGAAACAAATAATTAATTAACTAAAGTAGATTTTTAAAATGAACATCATTAACGTCAATACACCTCTGCGAACGTTTAACAGGTTTTTCACTGATTTGTCAATTATTTCCGGTTTATTTCTAATATTGTTATACATATATTATACATTTTTTCCAATAACTGTGCTCGGGTATTGATTTTTATAAATTCTACACCAAACATTTTGTGTGTTTAAGTCGCTGTACTTTTTGTACATTAACTAGATACACATTTTTTACTGCCTATTCATTACTTATTCTTACAATAACAGAAGGATGGTTTCCAACCACGTCATTCGTTTCATCTCTCCACGTTACATTATTTTATATAATTATATTTGGAAATTAACATGAAATAAAATTTAAACGAACTAAAACTCCAATGAAATCAACTTTAAAAATTTAAAAAACTAGGTTTTTTATAAACGAGCTGAAAACTCAATTTAGTCAACTGTCAATATGCGCCAAATTACACCATCACTCATTCCGTCCTAAACATTAATAATGTAAAATTGTATAAAACCAGTAGGCTTGTGTCAAATAATATCATTTATTTTAAGTGCAGTATTTTTTAAGTTTCTTATGAAAATAAGTATTTTATCCATGTCGATTCAATTTTGTAATGAAAAATATGCAGACATTATTTTTGTGTTCGGTTTTTGTAACGGAAACGGTAGAGCAGCAGTAAGAGAGTATCGCAGAGGCTTTTTTAACGCCGTTTACCAAATATTTTCGCAAGTTTTCGAATTCAGTAAGCAACATGAAAAGTCACCAACTACAGATTAACATAAACATGCTTCGGGAAATAATCTTCGACAAGAAGAGGAGTTACTACAGATAGCTCGAAATAGGCCTTCTATCAGTGTAAGAAGTATTAGTAATTAATTACAAGTAGCGATAACAATGAAAAAGTATAAAAAAATTGCATCCATTTCATGTACAAAAAGTCCAGCGACTTGAACAGGGAGACGACGTACCCCGCTTATCTTTTTGTAGATAACATACAGCAGGACAATATAGAGAATAAATCAATAATACTAGGAGTGGTCATATTTGGGCAACTGAAAATCCTCTCACTGTATCTCAAAAATATTCCCAATATAGATTTTCTATAAATGTATGGTCTGGTAATAAAAAAAAAATCATATTATAGGCTCTTATGTTTTTGAAGATGGATTAATAGCTAAAGTTCATTTGAATTTCCTTAGAAACATCCTGCCAAATTTGTTAGAAAGAACTAATACCAGAATAATGTGGTTTCAACACGCTGGTGCTGGACCTCATTTTCCCCTCATTTTCCCCACAAGATCTCCAGATCTAACACCTGCATTATTTTTTATGGGGCTACCTTAAATCAGAGGTGTACAACGAAGAAATGAATACCCGAGCTCAGTAATTGGAAAAAATTAATAATGTATGTAACAACAATAGAAATATACCGGAAATAATTGAAAAAAACAGTGAAAAACGTGTTAATCGTTCGCAGAGGCGTATTGACCTTCACAGTGTTCATTTTTAAAATCTAGTTTAGTTAATTATTTGTTTCTGTTAGTTTTTTCTCTTAATTTATTTAATAAAGTGAGCCCGGTCCTATGTAGATGTTCTATTTTTTATTGGAAAATTCAGTGGTAAAAAAATAAATGAAGATGGTATCTAATTTGTGTAGAGTTTTAAAAATACAGAGTAAAATATTTGATTTCATAATTGTAAATACTGATTTATAATATTGTAGTCGCCATTATAACAATTTACTCTAAGATAGTCATGATTGAGCCAATAAATATTATTACATTATTTTATATAATGATATATGTACTACTTAAATTTATTAAAATCCGATATATAGGTATTCTAGCTAAGTAGAGCAATGTAAAAAGAAAAAAATCCGGTCCTGGAATTTTTAAAAATTAAATTATAGCTTTGATTAACCTAAGAGAGTAACTTTTGTACAAAATTTTATCGAAATATTTTTAGTCGTTCAAATAAAATGGCCGATTTTAGTTTTGGGTAAATTCATAAAACTAATCTCAAAAACAAGTAAGATTAAAGGCTAAGTTTGGGGGTATTTTGAACTCAACAAAGTGTACTTTACCTCACATTAAGCTGTGTCCGTTTAAATCTGAAACACTCTGTATATCCGGGATATATCCTATTGAAAAAGGGCACAACTGTGCATTCGTTAATGATCAAAGGTTGCTTATTTAAGCTATACCAGTTAAGTTAGTTAATATGGTCATTTTGAAGAGCAATGCAATTTGAGGTATTTTTTATTTCCCTATAAATTTTCATAACTTCAGCAAAAAAAAATTTGTTTGAATTGATACTAAAACTGTCGGTAATGAAAAAAAATAATAATGGCCCCAATTCTAGTGTTGAGGTGTCCCTAACGGTGACACAAAATTAAAATATTTAGCACCGTCATATTTAATACATATTTATCTCAAAAAATATATAAATCATTTAAAACTAGAGTAGTACCCCCACCTTACCAGAAAAAAATAGGAAAGCCTTTAACATTTTCGAAGCAGATTTTTATTTTTAGTATCGTACATTTTAGGTTTAAAATCATGAAGGAACTGCTGTTATAAATTTTCAGCAAAAGTTACTATAAAGGATAACTTTGTGATTTGAAAGATATTTATTTATTTTAATTTCCAAAATTATCCTACTATTATAGTGCCAATGTCTATTTGTCTGTGCCGCGATCTCGGGGTAAAGAATGCCAAAACCATATCAGACCTAGATATAAGCTAGGGACACTAGCCGAGGTATAGAATTCGGTCGAAAATTTAAATGAACGAAATTACCTAGATATCAAAGATTAGATATTACGGCCTACTATATTAAAGTGCCAAGGCCTGCTTAATGAAGAAGTGTTCACCAAGTTTTTACAATGGGAGGCATCCCAATTTCAAATTAAGGCTGCGTTTATTCATCCAAATAACACAGCCAATTTTTATGCTTTATTATGATATATTTAATGATATTATATAATTATACATACATTTATTCAAACTTCTTAAACTTTTAATTTGCAAAAATTTACTATTCAAATGATACACGCGGCGTAACGCGCCTTGTGTAACTTTTGAAATCTTCTCAAAATATGAAGCGCCAAAGACGCTCGGTCCTCCGGTTCTTTCTAATAATATGCAACTAAATACAAGTATTTTTTTTAGTACATCGAGAATTGTCCTTATCAAAATTCTTGGAATTATCCGAACTATTATGGCCATAATTATTATCCTTCCGTCCATGGACATTCATCACGATTGATGCAACCAGCAGTTCAAAATTACCAGCAACCACACCATTCACAATTATATGGAAACTATAATGGAAGTGCCAATATTGAAAATCAGGGCGTCAATGCACGTGGTAAGTCATTTAAACAGAGTTGTGCGGTTTGTTCTTATATAAAATCCATTATAATAAGTTAGTTTTATAAAATTCAAATTCTTGAGGTTCTCTTTTACAGCTTGAAACTTTTTAAGTATTTCACTTATAACAATAAATTTAAACGCTGTTTTGACAATTTTAACTTTTAATTATCCAATATACACTTTTTACAATTTTTTACATTAGTTTTGTATTTTCAAAAAATAGATAAAATTTGTAGAATTTTATATGAAACCGTATGTTAATTATCTCTTTAGTTTGATGCTAGAACCTAGTCACTTACATTTCGGTTAAGCCCGTTACTCATATTTCGTGATGCAATGCGACGCAACGCGATTCGTTGATGCAGTTGCAGTGCTTAGTTATTTTCAGTCGAACAAAATGAAGTAGCAGGAAGAAATACTTATTCATGCTGCTGTCCATGTAAAAACGCAACCTGATCAAAATAGGGAGGCTATCATAAAATATATACGTCATTTGTACCTGTCCCAGACTTTGCAGGCTATTTTTCTTCTATACTTTCAATACGTTTGAAACAACGTCTCTTTCTTTAAATCTTTTCAACATCAAGGTTCATAGCTATTGCTTAAAAGACTTTTTTATTTCTATTTTTCTATTTACTATCACAAGGATTCTACAAACATTGGTGACTTTAATTATGTTTGATAAAATCCATAGCGAATTCATCCGTCCATTTCATGTTGTTTTTCAAATTAAACTACTAAACAGTGTTGCCAGGCCCTGTCAACCAAAAATCGGTAGAAGTATTGCAAAAAATCGGTAAACTACTTTTTTAAAAAAGAAAAATTAAAAAATAAAATTTTATTCGTAGAAAATAAAAATATAATTAATATTTTTAAAAGAAAAAATAATATTGAAATGACATTTTTACAAAATTTTATTATTAGTAATCTCTATAATTGCAAACTATCGAATTAGGAATTATCTTTTACTATCTAAAATTCTCCTATTTATAACTTCATTGCTTGTAAGATTCCCCGATCCTCAATTGCTAGTGTATTTCCCCCTATAGTAAGTGTTGTCCATCCGCGTCGCAGATAGAATTAAAATTCCTACGAGAATAGTGCGGTCGTACACCAAGCAAACATCAAACATGCAACATACAACGTGCGACATGAAGTAAATATCGTAGGTATGTTGCTAAAAATCGTAGACACAGATGGAAAAATTTAAGCACTTGCAGTATTCAATATGTCGTTAAGCGAGGAGGATGTGGTTGTAGCTTGGCAATTTTTGCGAAATTGACGTACACGTAAAATAATGCATCGATACTGGATTTATCCATTATTTGTTTATAATCTAGAGTTAAACCCAGTAACTGTTACACAGGATATTAATCCGGAAAAGTTTAAAGAATTTTAAAGAATGAATCAGCAAAGTTTAAAAGTATTGCTGGAACTTATAGGACCAACAATAGAAAAATTGGATACAAACTATCGACAGGCAACTTATCCAGAAGAAGTTGAATTGTCAGCCATTTTAACGAACAACAGAGATCTTTTCCATCAAAACACGCGACAAATACTGCAGCGCGACATGCACAAAAAATCACATGCGGTTTATGTTACAAGACACAGGCGTACTACGTGCCTACGCTTCACCGATGTGCGATGGTCACGAGAACATGTACGTTTTTAGTTTGTATACATGCGGCACAAGTCTACCTGCGGTAATTACTGCATGTTGCACGTTGCAAGTTGCATGTTTAATGTTTCCTTGGTGTACGACCGTACATTAGGCAATTGGGATAGACGTGTGTACAGTCTGTTCGATATACTTACGCGGGTTTCGGATTAACAAAATTATGCAAATTAGTCATTTACAACCAGTTCCAATAAGCCTTTTCCCAAGAATTTAGGTAAAATTGCCCTAATGGTCAGATTTAAATTAAAATAACATTAGGGTAAGTACTAAATTTGTTACAAATATTGCAGTTGAATTGATTCTTTGCAAGTGTTGACATTGTATATATATTGTAAAATAAGTAGAAATTTTAAAAATGCCTAGGCGTGTGTTAGATGTAGATAGTCTAATTTATAGTACACATAAGTATTTTACGGATGAAAAAAAAATGGCAGTCCTTTAAAATCGGTATCGTCTGTACAACAACGCGTATGCGATGCGCTAGGAATTCGTGAAACCAAATTAAGAGGAGTATTACAAAATCACAATAGTGAACTGCCGGAAGAAGATCACCGCAAAACTCGCCCATCATTGAAAACGAAAGATATTCCAGATGGAAATAAATTTGAAATTCGTGATAACATTTATCGAATGAGGGCCAACAAGGAACAAGTGACCTTAAATACAATTCTCTCGGAATTAATAGATAGAAAATTTGACATTAGTAGAACAAGTCTATGGCAAGTGATACATTACTTGGGTTTCAAATTTCAAAAGGAGGATAACAGAAAGGGTCTGTGTAAAAGAAGTTCTGTCGTGCACAAGAGAATTAACTTTCTAAGAAAATATTCTAAATTTAAAGAAGAAGAGGCGAATTTTAGACGAAACATGGATACTTTCTAGATGTGCAACCAAGAGAATATGGCAAGGTGATAACGTAAAGTCCATCAAACATACCGATGGAGAAGGAAAGCGACACATACTTTTATATGCAGGAGGGAAATCGAGTTTTATAAAAGCTGCTGATTTAATATTTTCATCTAAATCTAAATCCAGTGACTATCACGATAATATGAACACAAAAATATTTTTGTAAAACGGTTGCACGAAAAACTTCTCCCAGGTTTAAGTGAGCCCATCGTAATTATTTAAGACAATGCATCTTACCATTCTAAAGTATTAAACAAAAGTCCAACGAATTCTTGGACTGTTGATAAAATTTAAGAATGGTTGACAGAGGTACATATACCATTTCCTCAATATATATTAAAATCAGAATTATTACGCTTGGCAAATATACACGCAAAACCAAAAACCTTTGTTGTGGATCAGATTATTGAAAGTTACGGTTATCAAATTTTACGTCTGCCACCGTATCATTGCCAGTTTAATCCCATCGAATATATATGGGGAATAGCAAAACAATATTATGACATATTGGGCCTAATGGTTATAGTGACGATGCAGTTCGGGAAACTTGGCGAAAGGCACTTTCAATTGCAACTCCAAAGTGTTCCGGAACTGTATATCCAAGTGCAAGAAACTAATAGAAGATTGGTGGACTCGTAAAAATAAAATAAACGAAATAAGTCCAATCATATTAACAATTAATAGTGATGACAGTGATGATGATGACGATTATGATATTTTGAATGATAAAGACTGATTTTTATTTTTGTTGACAAGTTCAATTTTTTTATTTTTCATTTGAAATTCTCTACCTGGACCAAATTTTTATGTTAGAAAATATTTTATTTGAGCTAAATAACCCTTTTATTATACATAGACCATATTTTCTGTGTGAAGTGTAATATAAAATTATTATTAGGTTTATAATAGCCACATTAGACTTCATTAATGAAGAAGTTTAATTCTGCTCTCAATTATACAAAAGATTAACCATTATTATTTAATTAAAAAGTTGTACAATATTTTTCATTTCATTTAACCAGTTGATATTTCCCCAAAGAACAGGTCAAACTTTCGGGTACTTACCTGGAAATACTCATAAAATTTTAAATCCGAAACCTGCTTGAGTATAGCGAACAGACTGTAGAGTGTGTTACATAAAAGAACATCTCATCGTCAGAATTAGGTCCAAGTTTAACGCTTTTTCAATGACAAGTGACGGCTACTTTTTTATTACAAAAAATACAGTCCTAAACGATAATATTTTCAGATATTGTTTTAAAAATGGGTTTAGAGTAAGTTAGAGAATGTTGGAAAGTCTATAGTTTGTTTTACTTTTATTGCATAATATTTTAATAAGTGATATTTACCAAATATTTAAAAGGTATGGACAAAATTTTACACTCTTTTATTTTTGCGCTAATTATTTCAGGAAGCTTGTGTTAAGATTTAAAAATGTACTGTTGATGAGGTGGCGCCAATTTACAACCGTGCTTATTCGAGACATAAGTTTTATTAAACTTATCGTGTTACGTATTTGCTGACATTAAGAGATATAAATTTAAAGTGACATCTTGTATTACTTCGAATTAAAAATAGTTTTCTAACCTAAAAAAAAAGTTGAGTTGGGTCTTAAAAATGTTTGATAAAATTACAAAATACATATAGTTAGTTTTGGTATAAATTGCAATGTTAAGTGAATTTTTGTATAATATAATCAAATAAGTTGTTTGAAAAATAGGTAGATTGTTTAAACAATCTGTATATCAGTAGATTTGTATAGATTTATATCAAAATCGGTAGATCTACCGATTAATCGGTAGCAATGGCATCACTGCTACTAAACAAGAATTTTCGGGTCATATCGGCGCACCGGTACGACGAATCATCAACAACAGGCGGTTCGTCGATTCGCCGATGCTTGAAATTCGTAATTATTCGTAAATAATTTTTTGTGATGGTTCGTCCAAAAACCGACATCCCACGGAATCCTTGCACAACGCATCGCATTGGCGCACTCTATGCAAAAATGTGTGCAGTAATGCATCAAATTGACGCATTAACGCAATGAATAGGAGTACCTATCGGGCTTTAATCAAACAAATATGTTGAATAATAATTTGCATGAGTTTTGGTTTTTCTACAATTTGACTGATTATTTAATCTGAAATCTGTTGCAAAATGTTTTCAGTCAAATGTTCTCGACAAAGACAAGATTGAGAGTATCGCTGATCGTTATCGCTTTTTGAAATTTTTAAATTTGTTTTAGATCATTGTAAAGTTTGAAAAAACACTATTTATTTTGTTTTTTTGTCACTTTTGGAACTTATTCCTGAATTTCTTTACTTTTTATTCTATTCTGGAAATCTGGCTCTAAATTTTATGATCATTTAATTTGATTAATTGTTTTGGGTTAAAACCCAATA